GGAGGAGGGGGGGGGGGGGCAATGTTTTGCTATGAGGTCCTATGATTTGTAATTCTGCCTCTGTTTGCAATGTATGATAATACCCCTTTGTCGCCCCCCTCCCCCGGTACCTACCCTCCTTCTCCTTGAAGTGTATGAGGACGTATCCCCGGCTGCAGTCGGTGTCTCGGATCTCACAATCCCCTCCGTTAGATTCGCTCCTCTTCTGGAAATACAGCAGAAGTTTGTTTTTCAGCTTCTTAAGCTTCTTCGGACCTTCCCCCCAGTGGAGGGACACGGGGTGCTGGTACTGACTGTCCCCCATCCCGCTGGCAGTGACAGTAGTCGGGTCGGCCGGGGGAAGGTGATATATCCGATGAGGGTTTCTGGGTGTGGAGACGAGCTCGCTGATTTTACTTTCTGTTTCTTTTCTGGTTTAGTGACGGACGAGTCTCCTCCTATTCGGGGAAAGTCCCTACGCACACTCAGCTGCGACTGCAGAGGAGACGCCGATGTACCCCTTCTACAGGTGTAGGGATGAGCTCCGGGGGTTCAGGACGACCAAAAAGTGACCCGAAACTCCGGAGAGAAATCCTAAAAATCCCTCCGAGTCCCCGAACTCCGAGCAACAATGTATCTTATTTGTGTCACTCGGCTGGAGATCCTCCAATCATCTCTGACACGTTCCTTCCTTCTGGAGGGGGGCTACGTCTGTTCCCTATAGTCCCTGTGTGCAGTGTCATCACAAGGGGGGTGCGGCCTGCACCCTGGTGCCACCATTGGAGGGGTGACACCAAAATAGGGTTGCCACCTTTTCTTCAAGCAAAACCCCGAACACTCTAGCGACGAGCAGACATTTTTTGGGGAGAATGACTCGCGGCTTATTCATATGTAGATATCACAGTGGAGACTAAATTCAGTGGGGGGGCCAGTAGCCCCTATCCTAATTTTGGTTTCTCCTGTGTGCCTGACATCTTGTGTCCGGGTTTCTGCTGCCATGAAACCCGGACACAGCATTCAAAATCCGGGTGAATCCTGGACAGGTGGCAACTTTCCTGGACAGTCAGTCATTTTGGTGTCACCCCCTCTAAAAAGTCGGGCACTGGGTCACGGACCGAGAGCCCGACAGTGTCAGGAGAGAGGAGGGGACCCGGCGCCATACCTCATCCCGCCGGGTGAACGTCCCCTCCTCTCTCTGTGCCAGCCTCCATCACCAAGATGGCCGCCGGCAGGCGTCAATAAGACCACCACGCATGCGCAATGACGTCATCGCGCACACGTGCGGTAACGTCACGCCATGTGCAATGACATCATGGCAGGGGGTCACCCGGAACCCAGCCTCGGGACGCCCCTGCCTGTGTGCGTTGTAAAGTAGTCACCGCTCCAAGCTCCGCCCCCGGGATAGACTACAATCTCAGTACAAATCAGTAAACTAAACGTGAGAATTAAAGGAAACCCGACAGACGGGAAGTTTACCGATCCCAGCGACGGGTGACACCAGTCCAGCTGTGACACTAAATTACAGCCGGGGACATTATTGCCGGATCCCAAAACTACTCCTCATGATGCGTTGGGGGGGATTCAGTGCAACAAAGCTGCGTCCATAGGAGTGCGCAGCCTATTACATTACGATGTGCACACAAACTACAAATATATATATTAGGGACGCACCGAGACCGAGTACCGATACCAATTATCAATTCCTTTTTTTGTGTGTCATGTGACAACTTTTCTAAAACAATACAGACTGATGATTTTAGGACCGTGGTGGGGTGCCAGGGTCCGGTCTGAGCTGTGAATGCCTCTGACTCCAAGCTATAACTACAAATCCCAGCAATACCTTATACAGCAATGCAGAATACCGCCAGCTATAGAGAACTACAAATCCCAGCAATACTTTATACAGCAATGCATAATAACACCCTCAGCCATAGAGGACTACAAATCCCAGCAATACCTTATACAGCAATGCAGAATAACACCCTCAGCCATAGAGGACTACAAATCCCAGCAATACCTTATACAGCAATGCAGAATACCACCCGCTATAGAGGACTACAAATCCCAGCAATACATTATACAGCAATGCAGAATAACACCTGCTATAGAGGACTACAAATCCCAGCAATACATTATACAGCAATGCAGAATAACACCCTCAGCCATAGAGGACTACAAATATCAGCAATACTTTATACAGCAATGCAGAATAACACCGTCAGCTATAGATGACTACAAATCCCAGCAATACTTTATACAGCAATGCAGACTTGTACCGCCAGCTATAGAGGACTACAAATCCCAGCAATACATTATTTACCAATGCAGAATAACACCGTCAGCCATAGAGGACTACAAATCCCAGCAATACCTTATACAGCAATGCAGAATAACACCCTCAGCCATAGAGGACTACAAATCCCAGCAATACCTTATACAGCAATGCAGAATAACACCGTCAGCCATAGAGGACTACAAATCCCAGCAATACCTTATACAGCAATGCAGAATAACACCCTCAGCCATAGAGGACTACAAATCCCAGCAATACCTTATACAGCAATGCATAATAACACCTTCAGCCATAGAGGACTACAAATCTCAGCAATACATTATACAGCAATGCAGAATAACACCCTCAGCCATAGAGGACTACAAATCTCAGCAATACCTTATACAGCAATGTAGTCCTCTATAGCTGAGGGAGGGAGAGAGAGGAACCCATACCATCAGATTTAGAACTACAAATCCCAGCAATACATTATACAGCAATGCAGAATAATATGATCAGCCATAGAGGACTACAAATCCCAGCAATACCTTATACAGCAATGCAGAATAACACCCTCAGCCATAGAGGACTACAAATCCCAGCAATACATTATACAGCAATGTAGTCCTCTATAGCTGAGGGAGGGAAACCCTAAAGTTTATTCCAGGAAGACCCTCCAATGATTATCTATTAGAAATGAGCCGTGACGCAATCTCACATTTATGTCCTTGTTTCTCTGTCGCCGTCGCCGGTGTTATCTGTATGATGATAAAACTATATATTGGTTTTGGGGTATTTGATTTGTACAAATATAAGATTTAAAGGAGAGATCCTCATCCTCAGACATATTGGGGACACTTTACACCTGTACAGACCAGTCTGTGGATCATGTGCGGGGGCGTGGCCGGAACTTTTATTGTATTGTTTCCTTTATTTACAATGAATATCAATTGTAACAAAGTATAAATAAAATGTACATTTTAGGATATATGTCTGTGAGTACAACTAGAAAACCCCACAACCCATGTTTAGTTTTTATTGTCAGCAGTATTGGGGTG